CTTTCCCTTTTCTTCCCTCCCCTAAGTACTCATGGAACCTTTCATTCGAGAGACACAACGTTTCGTTTCGAAGGCACCGATAAAAATATTAAGCATAAATATTTATCTTCATCCATTTATGCCTGCACTATCGCTTGCTTTACGCAAAAGATATATATCGCCCTTTTCTTCCTCGACAACGTGACGTCTCTTCTCTACTTGCTCGTACACACAGTGCTAATTACGCACTCTATGCGACACCACGCTCGCGTAGAGACGCAATGCTTCTTTTACGTGTATATACACATGGACGATGCTTGTTGCACAGTGGTAGTGGAACGCGTAATAGCTTTTTCACATGGAGAAGCTTACGCGCGGATTGCTTCTCTCGCCACCGACTCTACACGCGATACCGCACACACAGAGGGCGAACCTGGCGAGGACGGGCTGGCTGGACGCTTGTATATTCTCTCTTTCTCTTTCTCCTACCCGATCCCCTTCCACTTCGGCCCGAAGTCTCACTCACTACTTGTCTGTTTGTCTCTTTCTCTGCGTTTCTCTGTCTTTTTTCCACTCGCACGAGCTTAGCCTTCCTTCCAGCGGACGCCGGCGAACTCGTGCAACGTTGCCAAGCCACGCTTTCACCCGCCCGCTCACAAAGGAAAACCCGAGTACGCCGACCAATCGAACTACATTTCAACCATGGTGGGGATGGCGGGAGTCTACCACTACTGACATCGAGGCAACGTCGCTTTCTCTCTTCCGTTCGTAGAGAATTCGAGAGCCATGGCTCGTAGTCCCCGGTAAGGTAGAGGGGCAAACGACTGCAAACCCTTCTCTACCCTTGAAACTCGAGGTCAACTTTTAGGCAGAGAAAGAGAGCGAAAGGGAGAGGAAGACACACCAACTCTGACTTGTCGCCGTGCGCTCTTTCTTCTCGCGCCTTTTTTTACCCTTCTTAGTTTCGTTACACTGCTACGGTCACTGGAATTTGCTCCACATTGGTACTTCCTGCTTTTCGCGCACCCTTTTTCCTGCGTGTCAAGTCGGCTTTACCGACCGAAGAACTCTTGCGCCATGTCATTTGTCAGTCGATAGGGAAGAACTTTTAAAATTTGTAAAGGAACAACATGCAAAACAATCTTTTATAATTTTTTTCAATCGAATAAAGTTATGCTTTACTTTTCTATATATGTTGTTCAAAAATATAAAATATGTACATTACATGTATATAAATGTAATATAGTATTGATATTAAAGCACCCACTTTATTCAATAATTAACCTTAAATTACACATCTTTTATTATTTTTTTATTGTTCCTAAACCTTATTGAATTTTTTAATTTTACAAGTTTATGTAAAGTTATAGAAAATTAAAGTTTAAATATACATACATATCATTTTTTAAATTAATCTTTTCCAATAAAATATCGTAAATAACACATTGGTTCACAATTTTACCAACAATGGAACTCCATGATAATGAATCAGGTAGCTACGAAATATAATTAACTTTTTATAGTTACTGTAATAAATAAATATTTCATTGCCTTAAATTATTCTATTTGGAAATATGTTTGCAATGTTTTACGATGTAAAATATATCGAGCTTATTTAAACAGAACATAAACTGTAATGTCACATATGGAATGTAATTTCTAGTGTATACTCCATAAACTCATACTCCCCCTCCCCTTTTGTAGCCAACACATACCCCGTAATTTCTAGCTGTTATCAGAAGAAAGATCAAATCTATTAATATGGAAACGTATCGTGGGAACGATCACTGTGCAACGCTGTTAAACGATATCCGAACTCCACGAGAAATTTCTAAGCGTAAGAAGTAACGTGAAATTGCGCAAGCTTTTGAAATTCCAATTTTTTAAAATCGCGCACAGACAAGACAAAATGAAAATGTATATCATAGGATTTGTACGTCGGGCTTCCTTTCTTCCCACTCAACCCCCAATCAAGAGGCGGGTGAGTCGGAGGTAACCCGGCAAATCGAGAGAGAGGAGAAGAGAACCGGGTCCGGGTCAATAAGACGCATGAGCGAGTGAAACAGAGATGGAACGAGAGAGAGAACCAGAGGGAGTGAGTGAACGAACAAGCGCACTGGAGAAACAGAGAAGAACAGAGACCGCGCATTCCCAGGGCTAGGCAACGTAACGAACGAACGAACGAACGAACGAACGAATGCAAGAAGGGGCACGGTGAACAAGGGAAATGGTGGAATGGCAAGAAAAAGAGAGGTACTGATGACGAAAGGAAGGAGAAAGAGAGAGGGAAAAAGAAACATACGATGAAAGAGAAAAGGCACAGCAGGCAACGAGAGTCCTGGCTTCAAATTCTCGACTCGTGTTGGTACCGCGATGTTCGTTCGAGCGAAGCGAGCCGATTCCGTCCGAAACGAACCGATCTCCCTCGATTCCGAAAGACTGTCAGTGTAAAAAAGTAATCGAATGATCTTACGACAAAACGTTGAAATTAGGAATTCGTAATTAATTCTATAAAGTAAAAATCTTATTTTTTATATAATTTCAGCGAATAATGGGTTAAGGAAAATTTAACACGACAAATTTTCGGAATCTTCAAGAAAATGTAAGAAACTATAAATATATAGAATTCCAAGTCTGTTTAAGAATATAAAGTCTGAAAATTATGAAAACGAATGTACTTGTTCCACGCATATAAATAAACGTATATAATTCGCTGAGCTCGCATTAGTATTTCAGTTCAAGTAGCTAACAAAGTATTTGTAAACTCATAGATGATTTGAATGAAATTTAAATAAAAGGGGTTGTAATATCTCCCAGTGAAAAATGCAAAATTTTAAATAAACATTTTTGTTATAAAACATTCGATTTTACCTTTAGTTCTTTGAGATTAAAAGAAACATTCAAATTTCAATGTATGATTTCTAAATTTACATAACATTCAGAATAATTTCAAAAAATAATATTACTACTATTTGTTTTAAACAAGACTTATTAAATTAATTAATGAAAACTCTAACGAGCTCGTTTGCGACTTTCCCATCATGTATTAAAGTTGTAAATAAGGATAAATAATATATAAAAAATCTGGAACATGTTCTTATTAATATAACTTATGTAATTACATCAGAAATGTATATCTAGAATATATATAATATTTATATAGATTTACGTAAATAACTCGTGTGAATCTTTATATCATAGAAATAATGAAATGTGAAATTAACAAGTGTCTAATAAAAATCACTACTGCGATCTTTTTCTTGCTTTAACGTTTAACTAATTTATATAATATATAAAACAAATGTAACGAAAGATTTTATTCTCTGAACAATATGTTTAACCAAGTCTGTCAATAAAAACATTGTCATTTTCCTCACAACATTCTTATACTTAATTGCGTATGTCACAACTTTTAAACATGCAATAGGAAATTTTAATGTACGGCGTAAGAAAAGGAACATGATATATCTACTATGGACCAATGCCAAACGCGTGTATGTATATATGTACATACTTCATACCATGTGTGCAGGAGTGTTATATTTGCATTTATCCGATGCACCTGTATAAAGAAACAATGTATAATACTTAATGTCCTTTTTCACGTAAATGCATATTTTTTTCCCATATGTATGAACAAATTTCTGTACATACGTCTATGTAACGTTCTCCTGTTTTTTCTTGACATCGAATAAATGGTAATTGCGAGCTACATGTATATAACGTTGAACGTGCCTGTCAGTATTACGCAAGATCACTTTCAATTTTATTATTCCTATATTTGAAACTGCTCTTGCGTTTCGTTATAATTCAAGTGGAATATTTTTATGTAAGGACCTAAATCCTTAAGTTATAAACTGTAAAAAATCATTTAAGAAATAACGAATAGAAAATATATAACTAAAGTAGTAATATCAAAGAACGCTCTCTACAATATTCATTGACTATTTAGTGAATACTTAAATATTTAATATTGAAATAATTAAAAAATATATATATATATTTTTGCAATAGCAAAACTTCATAGAATAAAGCAGAGAAAATATTTCATAAAAGATTGTGCAGTAATATTATGTTATGGTTAATGCTGGAGTTAATTCCTAACTTTTAGATGCTTATCCTGAAGATATTTATATGGAATAGTAGACAGCATGGAATATTTCATAGCATGTATAATACAGTACAAATTTCTTTATATAGCAAGCAAAAGTAATATTTTATAACTATTCTTTAGAAATCTCAGAACTTTGACTTAAAAAATTTAATTTTGTATTTAAACAACTGGTTTACTAAAAGAATACAAAAATATGGTAAACGACATAAAATATTTAATTTTCTGAATATCAAATGTTAATAAATATATTGGATATTTATTTTATTCATAATAATACCTCCGAGTATAATTAATTTCCAAAAAGCTGGAGATATTCTTAAAAGTTCTATGTGCATGTATCCCATGTTTGTTAAATACGATAATTATTAGAATTCATATTATCACAATTTGCACAAGTATAATTTTCCTCGCTTTAATTTCAATCAATAATACTATACTATAATACTATAATACTAATATGTATACCATTGATTTATAATTTGCATAAAAT